GCCCGGAAATACTTTTTCCCATTGACTAGCATCGGGAAAGAGACGTCTGTAAATCGTTGGATAATTTTCTTTAAACTAAATAAACTACCCAGTATGAACACTTGTATAGCCCTTATTAAAAACATTCGGTCCTCAAGTTGTAAAATGTGCTAATAACGTTATTCTGAGAGTTATTTTCCTCTGCATTATGAACGCGGATCTAACCCACGGGACCGCGCCGCCCGGCACGTTCATGTGACATGTTCAGCACTACACCTTTACCCATGGATGCACAATAAGAACGGATTATATGATTATATGAATACTTTCGTGATGTTTCGCTCTTTCAAAAGTTGGGCCATTTTGTCTTCATGCGCCAATGAGCAACTCTCATAGGAATGAACGAGGCCCCGCCTCCCACGCTGTTTCCAGTTCTTATTATACATCCATGAAATGAAGCCTCTGACATCACTTCTTCTTCTTCTGCTTTGGGTTTACTGGCAGGCCGCAAACAACTTCACGGCGTATACTGCCACCCGAAGTCCCCGGAGTTGGGGAAGGCTNAGGCTTCAGTAGAAGCTGCTGGGACTCCCAGCAGCTTCTACTGAAGCCTTCCGAGTAAATCGCCAGAACGTCGACACCTTCTCATCTCCACCGCTCCCATGTTTTCTTTTGTGTTGCCATAAGTTAGTTGTTGGTGCGCTGGGCTGATGCTAATGCTAATAATGCTAATGCGAGCAAATAAAATGGCGGCTTCACCATTAAAGAGGTAGCCCCGTAAAGAGTTTTACGGGGCGTGGTTTGCAATTCGTCCAGCCAATCAGAAATTGGGACCTTTTTCTCCCGGGAAAGTACCTGCTCTCTAGCAGGGGGTGAAAAGGTTCGCAAAAAAAAGTTCTAGTTCCAGATCTTTTTGGTGTGAACGCAACATCCCAGGAACTATTGGAACTATTCCTGGGAAAAGTAATCCGGTGTGAAAGCGCCTATAGAGACCTGAATTATCTGAAAAACCCTCATCTTATTTGGTCTCAATGTGTCTGTAAACGATTATCAAGGATGTAAAAAAGAACCTTGTTGAGCATTTAGAATGTGGATTACATTGCTGATGAATAATGTTTATTTTCCAAGCAGATGAACATAAACAAAGCGAGACATTTTCTTGCAAATGTCTCACTTTGTTTATGTTTATCTGCTTGGAAAATAAGCCTCCTTTCAACATTATTCATCACAATAAAGTGCTTTATTTATTCCATATCTTACATCCTTGATAATCATTTACAGACACATTGAGAGCTGAATTACAAACCCTCCAGATTTCTGCAGGAATTTGGGGTTATTTGACAAATTAGCCGCGTTCACACCGGAGTACTTTTCCCACTTTAGTTCCGATATAGTTCCGAAATGTCGCGTTCACACCAAAAAGAGCCAGAACTAAAATTAGTTCATGAGAACCTTTTTACCCCCTTTTCCGTCCCTGCTAGAGAGCAGGGACTCTCATGCGGCTCTCTTGTGAGAAAAGAGCTATATTTCTGATTGGCTGGGCGGATTGCAAACCACGCCCCGTAAAACTAAAAAAAAGTGTTGTGAAGCTACCATTTTATTAGCATTATTAGCATTAGCATTAGCCCAGCGCAGAAACGCAGAGTGACTAACTTATGGCAACACAAAATAAAACATGGGAGCGGTGGAGATGAGGAGGTGTCGGCGTTCTGGCGATTTACTCTGAAGTCCCTAACTCCGGGGACTTCCGGCCGGGGATTTTGGGCGGCAGTATACGCCGTGAAGTTGTTTGCGGCCTGCCAGTAAACCCAAAGCAGAAGAAGAAGAAGTGACGTCAGCGGCTTCATTTGCCTAATCCACCCCCAGGGACTTATTCCGGTGTGAACGCGATCTGTACTTAGTTCATCAGAACTAAAGAGTTCTGATGAACTAAGTTCTCATGAACCTTTGTGGGAAAAGTACTGCGGTGTGAATGCGCCTTTTGTCACTGTAAGCATGTTAGCACGCTGATGTTAGCATTTAACTCAAAGCACTGCTATGCCTAAGTACAAAGAGCTGCTAGCATGGCTCTGCACCTTCTATCTTTTATTGTCAAAATATGAGTGCCTTTTTAAGCTTTTTCTATATTTTCAAAACACGGAACTAGCCGTGTTGGAGACTCTGATTCACCTAATAAACAATGGACACGCCAGTCACAGACAATCCACTCTGCTACTACACTACCGTCTTTATTTTCTACAACACTTTTCTGACACCTCTCCCCTTGCTGGCCCATAACAATCTGTCTCAGCCGCACCACAGCAGTGTGCCAGCTGAGAGCTTTGAGCCAATGCCAAAGATAGAGGGCAAACACACGGGGAATCCTAAAATGTGTGGCTTGGCAGTGTCCCGAAAACAAGGCGTGAAACAGCTGCAGAGGGGTTCCTCCACAGAGCCAACAGATCACAGGGAACCTTTTCAAAGAATATATACCTTTAGGCGATCAGATTGCAGAGTCAAGTTTAAGAGCGTAAACACATGGTTTGTGAATATGCACACCTGCGAACAAAACTAAAACAACATGCACAGGATCTCAGTCTAGTGGCACAGGAAACTTGGACTAATGTGCAACAAACCCTGTTTCTTTGTGACGAATATTGGTGGATAAATGATGGATTTATGACACAATACCATAATAAAAACAATGAGAAAGGTTTCTGCGCAGAACGATGACACAAAATCCCTTTCATTAAGTACAACTGATCTCCCACAAAGGTTATTTATGTTCTCCATGTTATGTAATATATAAATACAAAAATAAACCGTTGACATTTTTTTCTTTCAGCAGCTTTAAATAGGATTTGATTAATATGCACTTTTAATTAGGGCTGCATATTACTAACGGCAGGCTGTTAAATATTGCATATATCACAACATGAAAAGTATGCATTGTTTTAAGAGCAGGTTGTTTAACAAGAAACAAACATCACAGGAAATGCTCAGGTTGAAAATAATAGGATGTTGGTCGGATGACTTGTTACTATTGTTTTGAATGTGCAGCAGTGGAAACGTTCACTTTCATTGTTTTGAGATTAACCGTGGAGCTCAGCTGAAGGGCGGGCAAGGATAGCAATAATTTCAGAGACTAAACTGATCGTAGGGACGCTGCTGTCTGACAGCCAGAGATCTGCTGCCACTGCTGAGCGTTTGAGAAATTATTACATGTTGTTAAGTGAGATATACGGAGCCAACATGCTGGATGAGAGATACAAGCAAGGCATGAGGTTGTAATGTCTCATGTTTCCCCTGTTTAACACTTCAATACAATTCAAACAGTATTTTTTGTTTTTGTCTGAGCGTCATCAACGTGGAAAATTCCCTTCGAACGCATCTTAAAGCTTACAATTAATGAACTAGGCCAAAACACAAAAGTAGGCTTTTTTTAAATGAATTATTATTTAGGAGGAATTTAGACGATATGGATCCAGAAAAGTTGTACTTTTTGTTTTCGTCCGAGCGCCTCATCAACGTGGACAATGTCCTTCGAACGCATCTTAAAGCTTACAATTAATGAACTAGGCTTTTTTAATTAATTATCATTTAGGTAATTGAGGAATGTAGATAATATGGACCCAGGACCCAGAAGTAGAGATTAAACACTGCCCCATGTATCTTAAAAACAGGTTACCAGGGTCTACACCTCACATCTCTAAAAAAAAAAACAGCATGACACAGAATCACTTTTTCTTTAATATCTAATTCTGTGAAATATGGTTAAGCTATTTGGAGAAGTGTAAGCTGTACTCTGCTCTGTTTGTGGACTTGCTTCTATTGTATTTTTGTTGAATTTGTTAAAATGCAAATGTTATTATATTCTTGGTCTGCACTTTAAACTGATTTCTAGTAACTGCACACTTCATCTTATTTATTTTAAGCATTATTTTGTAATCTGCCATATGTCTAATGTTGGGGAATGTTCGGTTGTGTTTGTGTAAAAATATATAATGGTATCACTAACATCCATTTTCTGTGGGAATTGGCACGTGGACTACCAGCAGCAAGTCAGTCACCTTCAAAAAAGATGATATGCAAAAGATGATGACGGACATATCATTTGATAAATCAGAGCGACATGTGGATGGGAGTGCTGATGAGCGTGATGAAAGCTCTGAACTCCCGCGGTGTCAAGGAGACCGCGTGACCTCGGCTGTTCCATCCCATAATAGACAAACACTGCTTACTAACGTACGGCACGAAACGAGAGGAAAACCAGACAGAACTACAGAGCTGCGCGGTGAAGAGATGTGTGTGACGCACAGAGTCCCAGTTATTATATATGTGTGTGTGTGTGTGTGTGTGTGTGTGTGTGTGTGTGTGTGTGTGTGTGTGTGTGTGTGTGTGTGTGTGTGTGTGATGCCTCTTGCGTAACAGAAGAGAGAGGCTGAGATGTCAGCACAATCAGCCTTAAGATCGTTGGTTTTAGAGGACTTGCAGGCATCAAAAGGGTGTAAAAAGTGCAAAGGTCACAGCGACAGACGATATTCCTGTGACCCGATAATGACCTTTGAGAAAAAGGAGTTCATGGTGGACAAAAAAAAAAAGAAAAACAGCCTGAGCAGGAGGATGAATCGCAATCCTAATCCAAACACGACGGATGCTGTCAGCAGCTTTATGATTTAACTCCTCGTCTCAGGCTGGGATTTCAACAGTTCTCTGCAGCCTGACACCTCCGGACACACTCCCAGTATCGACTCAATATGTGACCTCGTGAATCAGCATCTGTTAACCCAGCCGAGCGCACACATTTACGCCCAAAAGAAGCGTCGAGAGTGATATTATAAAACCCACAGCGACATAAACAGACTATATTCATCCAGGTCGAGTTCAGGAGCATTTCCCCACAGAGGCAGCATGCACATGTGCAAGAGGGAGGGGAATGAAGGACCTACCTCGTGCAGCTCGGGTGGCAGAAAACATTACATTCACAACCGAGCCTCTGAGAGAGGACGAGGGAGAGGAGGAGAGAGAAAGAGAGGCACACATAGAGATGACATCACCATATTTGTCTTCCTCCTTCTCTGTGATGTAGGCTATGTGCTGCAGGCTGAGCAGCAGTGAGAGCTCCTTCTGTGTGAGAGCAGGAGAAAGCTTTCCATAAAAAGCATTTCCTGCTGGATGTGAAGTCGATATACGGTGAGGTACCCAGGCTAAGTGCTGAAACACACACCAGGAGGGAAAGAGAATACACACGAGTAACGCAGTATTATGTTGGTGGTGTATTGCTTGGTTTGGTGAAGTTGACATATTAGAAATTGAAGCCAAATCTGCCCTCAAGGAGATTCTCCATGGGCTCCACTTTATGTAAATCAATTGGAAACACATTTGATCTCAATCATGAAGCCTAAGAGGTTTCATTTGAAATGCTACATACAATAGATTTCCTTTATTCTATGACTGTTTGTACTCAGGACGAGGAAATTCAGGACGAGTACATTTTTATAAACTTTAATGGCGATGGATTTGATACAAATATTGTTTTTTTTGTAAAACTGGGAACATTTCACATTCACAAGAAACGACATTTTGCACATTAGAATAACAACAATATGGCACCGCTATCAAAAATAAGAAGGCAATCAAAACCAAATGAGTATTTGATAAATATTTGTACTTAAAGTATTTTCGTTATATGTCTTTCTTTATACTTTTTTCTTTATGTTGTTTGCTGTGTACGTTTACCTGTCTACCCCTGATGTCAATGTTTGGTGTTTACATCAATGTATGATGGTCATACATATTTTCTTGAGAAAGCGAAAAAGTATTATGTTGGTGGTTTCTCAAAAACACTAGATTTCTTTTATCAGAACTACCTGCATGTACACCTATTCGAAATGGCCACATAATGAAGCACCAGTATTATGCTTCCAGTCTTTCCTTTATTTAACCTCCTCAATTCATCTACCTTTTTTATCTTTTGGGCAACAGCTCTTCTGGTAAAAGCTTTTGACAAAATATCTCCTCTGCATAGCGTCTACTTCCACCTTAAATATCCCCCTTGGCTCTTTCCTAAATCTTACAAAATGTTGCCAGCAAATGAGGTCTGAAAGAGAGACTAGGACCTTGTCTGACCTTTCTGGATGACCATGTGAGGAGGGGATTACAGCACTGCAATGAAAAGTCATCTTCAGTGGGATTAATGAGACTGAAGACGGTGACCGAGGCATGTAATGTGGAGACAGTGTTTTCAGAAAGTGTGACACAGACTTACAGCAAGTTCTGTGAGATGAAGGACAGAGCAGAGTCTAAAAAAAGTCTAAAAAAGTCTTCCGTCCACACGAGACCGCTCGAAAGCGCTGGAGACGCTGTAGTACATATGCCGGGCCTGTAAGTGGCGCTGTACCTCTGCCGCAAAATACACCAAAAGCAGCGAAGAAGACCCCGAGCGTGGTTGCCATGGTTGCCCTTCTTTTTATGCCCCGCGGTGGATTTAGCAACATGTAGTTTATGTAATTCTCCATGTCGACTTGTTGCTGATGGTTGTGATGTAGATTTTGCACTAACATCTGTAGCACTAGCAGTAGCTACTGACCATGCTACAGCAGTGAGCAGCAGAGGCGGGGCTATGGCTTCATCGTTATCAGGAAATGATCGTATAGGGCATGCACACGGAGCCGTTTGGCACCCAGAGCGTTCCGTTTGCAGATCTATCCTTGGGACCCGTTATCGTTAGCGGGGTCCGTTTCCGCGTTTCCGTGACGGCCTCGTGTGAACGAACGGGCTACACGAAAGAGAAAGGTAGCGGATACAACCGTTCTCGTGTAAACAGCACCAAAGACATTTTAAAAAGAACATCTTTGTTTTAGAAAGAGGTGTTTTCTCCCTCAAATAACAGCAATTATCAGAGAATAAAAGCCTGCACAGCCTGAATGAACGACTGACGCCTTGCAAACGATCTGAATCAGTTCTACTGTAGATTTGAAGACAGAGTTCAGTCCTGACACCATCCCCCATGATACCTCCCAACAGCTTCAGTCTCACACCTCCACGTCACCCTCCCCTTCAGTGTCCCACTCTCCCACATCACTGACCTCCCCCGACACATCAAATTCTCTCTCAATCAATGAAAGGGATGCAGACTTCTTTGAAAACTCAATAGCTGAAAAGCGGCTGGACCTGACAATGTCTCCCCCTCCACCCTGAAGCTCTGTGCTGATCAGCTGTCTCCTGTGTTTACTGACATCTTCAACACCTCACTGGAGACATGCCACGTCCCAGCATGCTTCAAAACCTCCACCATCATCCCGGTTCCCAAGAAAACAAGGATCACAGGATTAAATGACGACACACGCCCTGACCTCTGTGGTTATGTGGTCCTTTGAGCGCCTTGTCCTGTCCCACATCAAATCCATCACAGACCCCCTCCTGGACCCCCTGCAGTTCGCCTACAGAGCCAACAGGTCTGTGGACGACGCTGTCAACATGGCCCTTCACTTCCTCCTCCAGCACACTCGTTCAGACGAGACCACCCTCCTCGGACTCATCTCTGGTGGGGACGAGTCTGCCTACAGGTGGGAGATGGACCATCTGGTGACCTGGTTCAGGGACAACCACCTGGAGCTCTCAAGACAGTGGAGATGGTTGTGGACTTTAGGAAGAACGCAGCCCCCCGACCTGCACGCCTCCAGGACCCTGAGGCGGGCAGGGAAGATAGTGGCCGACCCCTGCCACAAATTGTTCAGCCCCTCCCCTCTGGCAGCAGGCTGCGCTCCATCAGGACCAAAACCTCTCACCACCTGAAAAGGAGTTAGAGAACCGATTTTTTCTAATAAAACCTACTCCACAAAGTATTAAATGAAATTGTAGGACGACGAGAGTAGTTATAAAAATCGGAACAGAGTTTTGAGGAAAAGAGAGACAAATCTATTCAATAGAGACACCTGGGGTAGAGAGTGGAACATAAGTCTTAGTCTTAGTCTTTCGCCCAAATAACCGGTCCATACAAGGTGTGTATGCTCCCTAAACTGAACTACAGACCACGTATGTTTTATATTTTTGTTTTAGAAATTCCTGTGACATTATTTTATATCAATTTATCGTCACTCAATAGCTTATAATGTAGATACTATATTCTTATACACGTCATCCGTCATAACTTGTAACACACGTAATTACATTACGTATATCTCAGATGCCACACAGACTCCATTTCTCAGTCACCACCCCGCGCCCGGAACAAATTCTCCGGCCATCGCCTCCCCTTCGTTGAC